CCCACATTTGAAGGGCCTGAGTCTGCTCCGCGCTCCGACCATTTTCTCGTCCATGATATACCAAAGATAGTCATGGTTGGAAGAGGGCAGCGTGCGGCACTCCTCCTTGCGAGTTTCCAAGATATCCAAGAACTTCCAACGTTCGGGTCCTTCCACTGTAAACGAGAGTTTTGCGCGAATTTCGGGCGGGTGTTGAATCCGGTACCCCGAGCAGCCTCACGTATTTGGGGCTTCCCGTGGCGTCTCGCGTCCCTTAAACTCTGCGACCTCTCTGTTGCAGCTTTCCAATCCGTCGCGGTTTCGCCGGGAGCCTGATCGATGCCTTTGACAGAGGAGAGCTATCGGATGGTAAGACGTTTGATGTTCAGAACGAGAGGAATCGTATCCGAAAAATGGAATTTTTTGTCTAGTGAGACTCTCCGGTCGCCTCGATGGAGGGAAACGCATAAAAGCTGAAGCCTCTAGTCTGCGGATGGAGAGTAACGACGAAATCTAAATTTTTTGAGGACCTACCAACCTTCGTCGAATATAAAATAAGGATAAAAAGCGTGAAAGCTCCGCTAGAACATGAGCGCAGGGCCGCAAGGAGCAGTGGCGATTCCTACGACGCACGCGATATACTTCATCTTGAAACCGGACGTGGGACTGGATGATATCAGAGATTTCTTCGAGGATGATCATGACGAAAGCTCTGTACGGTGTGAATGGTTCATAATCGGGAACATCGGTAACCAGTGTTTATACACGCCGCATATACCTCAGCCAGGCGAACGGATCCAAGGATTCGCCAGGTTCAACAGACCGTGCACCACACAGAGTTTGCTGATCATAGCCTTCAGACGGCTGTTTTGCTCGTTCCTCGTGGTCTTCGATCCTCATGATGCGAATTTCCAATTGCATACCGGATTCATGCGCGCTGAGCAAATAATAACCCAATGGCACAGCAGAACGCAAGGCTAGCGAAATTATTGTATGACCGTCGGTGTAGACGCTAAAATTCGGAGAATATGGTGAGGCGACTAAATAAAACTCAGGATTCCCCCCCCCAAGATCACGCTCTCGTAGACGGCATTGACGTGATTCGATGAGTTTAGCATATCATCGCTCTCGCAATCGTGATGCTCCATCCTTCCGGTCACGATTGACGGATCTGTTTGGAGGGGCCTCTCTAACTCGTACTGATATCCATTCAGCTATTTGGGCGGTATTCTTGGGAGAAAGACTCCATCTTGATTTGCGAATTGCCTGTAGAGATGGGTGAGGGCGCCGTCTCTGATCACAGCTACTCTCCGAGTCCAACGTAGTGTTCGAGGCGAAAATCAAATTCGCTCATTCAGCAGGCAAAGTGAAGTTCGAGGGAGGATCGATAGGCGATCTCTCGGGGCCGAGGAGGTGATGTAACAATCTTCAAATCAAGGAAAATTCGCGACGCGGGCTTCCTCCGAGGAACTGGACCGGATCAGAGAATTTTCAGACTGGTCAGACCTCTATCCAAGTTTCGACTTGATTCATCGCATGCTATCGTGGTCAGCTCAAAAATACCACGAGCATCACAATAAGTCTTGGAAATCCAAGCAATACACGGAATTCTCGAACAAAGGGAAATCTGATTCTGTTTGGAGTCTGTCACAAGCACTTTCTCGTCTCCCTCAGCCTCAAGTCTAGAAGTTCCAAAGACTGCATGACTTGGAATGGTGTTTTCACCTGGACTTGAGATCAGTGTGTTTTCTCATCGGAGGACTTCCGAGACTCCTGGTGAGGGCGGGGGCGAAGAGGATATCAGCTCATAATGTGACGTTTGAAGAACGACTCTTCGAATCGGCCCAAGTCGATACCGCTCTGGATCCCATTTTCTGCGACGCGACGCGGCGTCGAGAGCGAAGGTGCATCGTGATTCGAGCGCGATGCTTGAGTGGAGTCAGGCTGTGGGGATCGTGAGCCGAATCAGGCGAGAGAGTTCCTCGGATTTCGGATCATGGGAGATATCCCTAGATTTGGAAGCTGGACAGAAATCACGCTCCGAGGAGTCGGCGACTACGGCACCGGACTAATCGAGCCGGGCCGGGAGTAACAAAGGTTCGTACCGGAGCCTCACTTCGCCTCGAGCCGTAGAAGTTGGAGTAGCTTGCGGGGGATAGAAACCTCTTATCATCCATCCAGATGAGATGACGTCCAACCGAGCTCCATGCTCTCAGGGAAGTGAGATCGGGAACGATGGAATCGAAGACCCTACCTTGGGTGCTCGGATTCAGAGGCGGCTGTGCTGTCCCAACCGGAGAAGCAGGCTCCACCATCTTCGGAAGGTTTGTCTGATCCAGAGGACTCGTCGAGTCCGGAGGGCTCGTGTGGTCCGGCGGAGCGTGTGTGATCAGGGGGGCTCGCCCGGTCCAAAGGGCTCGCAGATCCGGAGGACTCGTGTGATTCGGAGGGTCCGGAAACGGAGCCGGAAAAACGGGGAAGTGATCGGACATTGATCTGATGCTGAGCCAACTGAAATCATGCGAATCCTCGCACATTCAGAACCTCCATAATTCCTCGAGCGCGTATGGGGGCGTCGTCACGGAAGACTCGCTGATTCGAATTCTGTGGTATAGCAAGAAGAACATCAGGTGTCCGCTGATGATCGTAGCCACGAGGGTCATCTTCAATAGTTCCAGAGCACCGCCACATAGTCTTTTGAGAAGAGTTTGTGGCGGCGTCGAAGCGCGACGTGTCGTCCGGGTATTCTTGACGAAGATTTTTCCCTGTGAGCTGCACGACCACTGATCGGTCGCCGTTGTTCCGAGTAAATTTTCCCTTCCAGCTGAGGAATTCTCGGCCGCCATCCGAAGCTGACCGCAAGCTGTCTCCGCCTACGTCGCGAAGCCTTTTCACCATCCTTCCCTGAACAAGTTCGCGAGGGGATCATGGAATCGATGTATGCATCTCCGAGCCGGAATAGAGCCTGCATCCAGTGCCGCGAGAAGCACGCACGTGCATGTGAGACCACGTGCCAGAGAGCTCACCGAGCCGAAAACTTTTCCTCATGCGATTCCTGGTTCCGAAAAGAGATTTCTCCCCTGTGCCGCGGCGAGTCGACCATGGAAATCAGGGCCGCTAACTGGCCCCTGCTTTAAGTAGTAAGCGTGAGATCGAGCTTCTCAGCGCTGCTAGCGTCTGATGATTAGACTCCTGATTATCTCACTAATCGCCGATGGCGTTCCTCCAGAAACGCGGGATCCGATTTAAAATTCTCCGGATAGAGCGATCCTCCGGGAACCGGAACTTCAACTCAATCACTTCCAGCGATCGGACTGCGTGAGGAAAGGTGATTGACCTGTGCAGAGGGATACGACGATGTGGATAGGAACATTAGATTACTTTATGACTTGATCCCCTATGCCTGATCGATGGGTTGCGGCGCTTCCCTTCCTGGATACGCGAGTCCCAAACGCTTGCCTATTATCACGATAATCAAAGCGATAACGGCGGTGACCGCGATTATTGTTGCAGCTTCGTACAAAAGTTTTCGCACAGAAGAGTCCTGCTCCGTCTTGGCTTGCGCGGTCGGCGGCATCATCGTGTGACCGCAATTCAAACTCGCCGGCATCATCTGGCCGCAGCAACCTGGAAAAGCGATAAACGCCCTCAGGAAACGATTCGTCACGAGGAGTGGATTCGTACGCAGGATGAAGGCGCGACGGGAGAGAGTAGTATTCGAGCGTTTGATCTGATCTGCGAGACGAATCGGTCTTTCGGATTTACGCACGGCCTGGCGTGCAAGTTCCGTAGGGTCCGGGGGATGACATCATGCGTGGGTCGGCAGGACCGGCAGTGTATTGGGGCATCACCATTTGACCCTGCTGGGAGGTTCAGATTTTTCAGCGATGAGTGTGCCCTAATTTCGCTGATGCTCGCCGTGGTGTTCAAATCGAAGATTAGAACTCACCATCAATGAGGTTTGCGGAATCGAGGGCACGGCTCCGAACCTGGGATCGTAGCCACCGAACTCAGGGTTCATTTGGTGGGGCGGAGCCATGGGCGACTGATAGGGCATCGGCCCTGGCATCTGAAAATTCAATCCCACGGAGCCCGTCGCTAGAGGAAGACTTTCCATGGTCGAGGCCATCTCTGAGCTTTTCGGCCCTAGTTGGGCAGCGTTCTTCAGAGGCTCAGGTTGCCTGGTCGAGGACTGCGTATCCTGTAGTGTCTGACCCGCGGGGGTTAACGCTCCGGCATTCTGGTCTTTAAACATTATGCGCCGCTCCCACCACCCGTGTTCGACCCCACTTCAGACTTTCGTTGTTTCGTGGCGATGATCCTAGCCACCGGTCCTTTCTGCTATCTCGCGGCTGCTGTTCTGAAAAGTGAGGTATCGAATCACCCGAGAACGAGCACACGCAGGAATCGGGCGAAATTTTTCGTTCCCGCATCCACTCCGAGGGAGAATTCCTGATTTCCTTCCGGCAGTCCCTTTCTTGTCCCATGATATGCCCACAGCAAGGTACATGTCCGCGAGGTTTGTCGTCACGCTTCTATCGTCGCTGTAATCGTCGCTGTATAATCGTCGCTGTATAATCGTCGCTGGACGAATTTCCAAGCTTCGTTCACATTGCGAAGCTTGGAAATAAACCCATATTTATTCGTGTTCCTTCAGCTGCATGAGCTCAATCGCAGGTCGCTCGTCATCTACAATTGATTGAAGGATAGCGTAATTCCTCTGGGATGATGCCGTTGTTGCTCTAACCGAGAGTGAATTCAAGTCACTGAAGTGAGATTATTTCAACTTTTCGACTTCGTCTCCCGAATCGCGTGTGAATACCAGCTCTAAATATTTCACGTAGACGGCTATTTGAATATGCCCTTGTGAAGTTGCTCGAGAGTTGCGACTATTCGCATGAATGAACCTTCTCGTGATGTTTCAGCTGAATTTTCTGAGTGAATCTAAGTCCGCACACGCGGCATTGGAACGGTTTTTCGCCGGTGTGTAATCTCATGTGAACGCCTAGGTGATCTTTCCTTCAGAATCTCTTCCCGCAGACTTCGCAATGGAAAGGTTTTTCACCGCCATGTGTTTTCTCATGAGCCGTGAGGTTCCTCTTGTAAACGAACGACTTGCAACATAAGCCGCACATGAAAGGTCTCTCCCGGGTGCTCGGACTCTCCTCCCGACCAATTTCTCCCGCGGGATTCGCTCGCAACCCTTCGCTCACGGACGGGATCCTTCCGTCGCGTATCCCACTATGCTCTGAGAACTCGGAATCTCGCGAGAAACCCACTCGACAATTCTGATGATTGAGGCCATTTCCCACGGCGTGTGACCTTTTGTGAACGTTCATGTCGCCTGACCTCGCGAACCTTGCACCGCATTCTTCACACATGGAGGGCTTCAGTCCGAGGCGTATTTTTTTATGGGCTACGAGATCGTATCCTCGGGTGAATCGGATTCCACACTCGTCACACAAGTGAGTTTTTTTCCCCAAGTGTGTTTTCCGGTGAGCGTTGAGCTTCCAATTCAGAGCGAATGAAGTTCCGCAGAAATCACATAGGAATGGTGTCTCGCTGCCATGTGATTTTTTATGGTTCCCGAGGTGATCCTTCCTTGCGAACTCCTTGTCGCATTGGTCCCAGGCGAATGGTTTCGCCGCCGAGTGGGTCGTCAAATGGTTATCGAGGCTCTTCAGGTGAGCGAATGCTCTTCCGCATTCCTCGCATCCGTATGGTTTTTCTCCGGTGTGGGTTCTCATGTGTAGGGTGAGATCGCCGCTTCGAGCCCATCTCTTCCCGCATATGTCACAAGCGAAAGGTTTCTCTGCGGTGTGTATTCTGCTATGGACGATCAGCTCGGCCTTGCGGGCAAATCTTCCTCCGCATGCTTCACAGAGGTGGTTTTTCCTGTCAATACGATTATTCTCAGACTGCATCCCTCTGAAAGATGAGAAAATTTCCATGCTAGAGACACTCGAATGTGCGTCTTCGGACTGAATGCTCTTCCGCCACAGAGCATCTGGTCGGAATCTCTCGTCGGTGTTTACTCACGTTCGTTGCTTTGGTGGGATTTTCCAACAGAAATCTCCCGTGCATTCCCTAGGGGTTGCGTTGTAATCCGGAATCCTGGAACATCCGGGAATCGGCCAGGCCCGATATCGAGTCCTCAGCTGCCTGATCAGCTGCGGATTGTGCGATGATCGGAGAAGTCTCCCCATCTACAACGCTAACAGCGATCCTCTCCCAGCATTGCACCGCGCCGCCAGATTCGACTGTTGTTTTCCTTCAGCCAAAGACCAAGATGCGTGCTGCGGGGTCCAATACCTAAACCCGGTCTGCCGCAGCCACTGGCTCTTCGCAGCGATATCTGTCGGAGCAGATAGACGTCCGGACCTTCGGAGATACGCGCTCCGAACCCCGAGACTGGCTCATTCGTCTGTTCGAAAATTCACTTCGTTCTGAATTTGTTCTGCCTAGAAGAGCGGATAACTCCCGAAAACAGTAGATCATCGCTGCAGTACTCCTCAAGACTTCCGGAAGGTCGAATCACGAATGGAGGCTCGATTTTCTTTCGGCCATACGTCAGTTGAATAGCGAAGGAGCATGCCGTGGAGCGTGGACGATTGAAAAGCGTAAGTATTTATTCATAGCATTATACTTGGTAAGACATTTCGAAAGGACGAAAAAAATATTTATTCCGTCAGTTTCAGAAACGGATGCCCACATTCAGTACAACCATTTTCGCGGTGTACCTGAGAGAGATCCGGGCGAAGGACTCAACAGCTTTCGTCAGGATGGGAAACTTCCTCCGAATGAGAAGGGTCCGTACTCGAATTCCCTTTGTTGTTGTTGCTGCTGCTGCGGCTGCTGCTGGTGCGGGCAGCACCGGCGGCCACTCTTTGTCAGCTTCTAGTTCCTCAATTCTTCGCTGCAAGGATGGAAATGTCCGTTTAAGAAGGGACTAAGGCCGCGACTTGTCATTTCGTTCTTGAGGCACTACATTCGGCGAATTGACAAGCTTCAATTACCATGGACGTAGATGTCCCAAATCATGTACAATAATCTCAAGAATATTTCCATCTGAATGTATCAATGCGATTGCAGAACTCAGACGGGAGACGGAGGAGGGACAAGACACCTGGCTTAATCAAGGGAGAGCTTTGATTTTTCCTGATTCCTTTTTGTCTTCGAACGGATTGGCGAGCCCGGATAGCTTCTTTTAGGACCAAGTTCGAGAAAGAGGAGGATTCGGCATCAGATGAGACGAAGCTGGGGCGAATTCGGCGCGCAGGACAGTGAGACGCCGGCCGCTCCGCGATCGAAATGAATACTCATCACGGTGACGAAAGTTTGATTCCGGTTCGGCAATGAGCCAAACCAAAGGTCGTGGGAAATTCATTCAGAGATCACAAAGGTCAATGAAGCCCAGAGATGGATGGCTCCTCTCCTTCGTTCCTATTTCGTTCCTCATGACTAGGGCTGTAAATTATTCGCGGCGATCGCGGGATTCGCGGAAATTTCCGGCTACTCCCCATAGAGTTTCAATGGAGGCCGCGAATTTCCGCGAATTTGGCGGAAATTTTTCGCGAAAAATTTACATCCCGATGACAAGATCATGACTGATGTTATCCAGGGATTTCTGATAGATGCGGGTGATTCGGTTCGAACAACGTTCCGGCTTCTACGAGGCTCTCTCGTCAAAACACGAGTGCATGATGATGCTCCCCTGAGAGAAGCATGTCCCGACAGGGAACTCGAAATTCGTTCGGTTAACGAAAATTGTTTCGTTTGTTTGGGAAGGAACTTAGGAAAACCTCACCGCTCTACAGATATTGAACGACCCTGACCTCCCCTCGCAATCGCTCCCCGATCATGCCGCGGTTGTGATTCGTGAGCCAATCGGTGCAGTTCACGTTCACAGAATGAACCCGAACGAGAATGAAACCGTCGGAACCGGAGGAAAGACGCAGCGAAGGATACATTTTTCAGTACCTTCCTCCCCATTAGGTATCCTTCCCCCCTCGGGATTTCCTCTCTCAGTCTT